AGACCTACCCATTACAGAGATTCTGTGAAATGCAAACAGGCTATTTATGCGGTTAGATTTTAATGTTGACTCTGAGGGACTGTAATGTTTGCAATGTTTTTGTGTTCTCTAGAGATTTTGGGGTACATTAACACTTCTCTGAACCCAGTAAATACCATTTTACAGTTTGTAATTGACAGCCCACACGTCCTTGGCTTTCAGAATGCCACTCTTCTTCCCCTTTACTGACAGCTGCATTTCAGATCCTCTTCTGGCCCTGCCTTTTAGATTCTCCAAGACTTGGCCTTGAGAACTGTCATGTCCTACTCTTTGTACTTTTTTGTATTTTTCATTTGGTCTAGTAAACCACTTAAATCCAGATGCTTCCCAAATTCATTTCAGGTTCCAGGTTTCTCAGTGTGCCTTCCGTATCTTAGTTTTATTCTTGGCATCTGTACTCAGATGTTAGTGGCCAGAAAAGGGCTTTTCATTTCTTACTTCTGTACTCTACAGAGTGTGGGAAATATTCTCACCATTCATTCTGTTTTTTTCAGGATGGAAACTCAGCAGCCATCTATGAGTCCTTTTCTTTATGATTCCCACTTGCAGTATATCAGCAAATTCTACATTGGTAGATATTGTCATCACTATGCCCATCAGAACCACTTTTGCATTTCCATGGCAACCCCTAGCCCAGGTTACAAAGATACTCCAACCACTTGATTGTAGTAGTATTGTGTATCTTGTATCCTTCTACACTTGTGTCTCTTTACTCCAAGTCCCACATGGCAGGAGGATGAGCCTTGCAGGCTGCAGGTCATGTCCTGTGATTTCCCTGCCTATTAATCTCAGTGGGTTCCCATATAGAATCCAGTCTAGGTGCCATTTCCCAAAGTATAGGGCTCTAGTTTATACTTTGTTGTACTTGCCCACCTTCAGTCTGTCCCTTGGCATTTACCTTTAGCTACTCCCATATTCATTTCTTGAAGCATACTAAGCCCTTATACAGCCGATATTTTCACCTGTGTTCTCTACACTGCCTGAGATGTCCTCTACATGATGGGTTGTTTTTCTCATCAATACCTGCACTAAATAGTACTCCCTGGAGTTGTCCCTGATGGTCATATCTGCTGTCATCTCCGATTTACCCTTCCCCATCTCATCTCCTGTTTGTTTCCTTCGTTGCAACATCCAAAAGGCTTAATTACTTTATTAAATTGCTTCAAGTAATCTTTTTGATGTTTTACTTTCCTGATCAAAGTTAATGTCAGTGGGCAGGCTGTCTACTGTGTATTCTGCAACATGTCTAGGAAGTAGCGCAGCCCTGGTAAATGGTGTTTAGAATTCTGCCTAGACTATCAAATGAATGAACAAAATTTCTTCAGGAGAAGAAAATACTTCTCTCTGACAACATGTCAAAGTATACTATAAAGCCCCAAAATAAGGTGATTTCAGGTGTTATCTGACTTTAAGAAGGAACTATGAAATAGAATAGATAGTATAAGGAAATAAAATAGAAACTTCCCTAGGGAAGTTACCAAAGAAGGAAATTATCTGGATTTCCTGTGTGATTTGGAAATCATACTTGTGCAGTGACTTATCAGTCAGTAGTATGTGTTTGGTGTAAACTTACAGACTTTTTAAAAATTATTTTTATTAGAAATAAGCTTCTTTAACATGTCAATCCCAGTTCCTTCTCCCTCCCTCCCTCCTCTACCCCTCCACTCCCTATCCCAACCCCTTTCTGCTCCACAGGGAGTGTGAGGCCTTCCATGAGGGATCTTTAAAGTCTGTCATATCATTTGGAGCAGGGCCTAGACCCTCCCCTGTGTGCCTAGGCTGGGAGAGTATCCCTCCATGTGGAGAGGGCTCCCAAAGTCCATTCCTATACTAGGGATAAGTACTGATCCACTACCAGATGTCCCATAGATTGCCTAGAACTCCAAACTGACATCCTCACTCAGGGGGTCTGGAACAGTCCTATGCTCGTTTCCCAGCTATCAGTCTGGGGTCCATGAGCAACCTCTTGTTCAGGTCAGCTGTCCCTGTTGGTTTCTCCAGTCTGTTTCTGATCCCTTTGCTTATCACTCCTCTCTCTCTGCAACTGGATTCCAGAGTTAAGCTCAGTGTTTAGCTGTGGGTGTCTGCCTCTGCTTCCATCAGCTACTGGATGAAGGCTCTAGGATGACATATAAGGTAGTCATCGATCTCACTATTAGAGAAGGGCATTTAAGGTAGCCTTTCAACCACTGCTTAGATTGTTGGATGGGGTCAAACTCCTAGATCTCTGGACATTTCCCTAGTGTCAGAATTCTGTTTAAACCTATAATGGCTCCCTCTATTGTGGTATCTCTTTTCTTGCTCTCCTCAATTCTTCCCCTGACAAATTCTTCCTGCTTTCTCATGTCCTCCTCTCCCCGCCTGTTCTTCCTTTCTCTTTCTTTTAACTCCTTCTCCCCTCCCCCCATGCTCCCAATTAGCTCAGGAGATCTTGTCCCTTTCCCCTTCTCTGGGGGACCATGCATGTCTCTCTTAGGGGCCTCCTTGTTTCCTAGCTTCTCTGGCCGTGTGGATTGTAGGCTGGTACTCCTTTGCTCTAAAATCCATATATGAGTGAGTACTTACCATTTTTGTCTTTTTGTAACTGGGTTACCTCACTCGGGATGGTTTCCTCTAGTTCCATCCATTGGCCTTGCAGACTGTTTTGAGCTACACTTATGTCACATATTTGGTGTTCTCATCTTCCATGAGTATGCTTAAAGAACACTAGGACCTTTATCGTAGTCATGAGAGTGGTTCTTAAGGTAGAAGTATCAAAATGGTTGCTGTAATAAACATCTATTGACCTCAGATAGGCAGATGTGGTTTCTGTTTCAAGACTCAGAAACATGGAGGGGTGAACTTGTCATTGTCTTTTGTGGAAGTGTCAATTGTAGGTACATAAGCAACCATAGTGCAACAAAGGAGTGTTTGGATTTGGAGGTGATGTGAAATCTAGACTTGAATAAGTGAGAATTTGTTAGATGAAGACTTTCTAGGCTATAAGACAGAAAGCAGAGGATTGGGCAGGAGTGCAGGCAGCAGGTTATGTCCTTTGCAACCAAGGGAACTGTAAGGAGGGCCATACGTTAAGGAAGGTGGAGATAGGCAAAGACCATAGAGCACAATGCCTTGTCTGCTGTGGATGCAGATTAAGTTTTACCATCATGTATGGACGGATTTTGAATGATATTGTCCTTAATAGGATTACATAATTTACATTTCAAGTGACTATTAGATGATGGAGATCATTTCCAAAAGGAGGAATCTAGTAAAGGATGAGGTCACCCAGGGAGTGTCAGCCAGAGAGGTTTAGACATTGACCCTAGTGGGGGCAGTGACACCAAACTGGGCAAGGAGACTGAGGTCACTGTGAATAGCAGAGAAGAATAGAGCAAAGCAGTGCAGAAACCCTGCAAATAGACCCCCCCACCCACCCAAGGAGGCAATGGCAGCAAAGGTCTTTAGTGATCTTTACCAGTAGCTAATGGGCTGATGGCAGGAAATCCCCTGGAATTGAAGGAGCCCTGAGAAAAACCAGGCCCACCCAGTGTAGACAGCTGACCCTGTTTCTCTTTTGTATCTTTTTTATTCTTTTAGGTGAGTTGTAATGATGTGACCTTATTTGCATATTTCCCTAAAAGGGAAGAAGAAGGGGTACTAGGGATAATGGAATGTGGTTGACATTGCTTTAGACACATGAAACCTGAGAGAGAAGTTAGGAGGAAAGTGTGGAGGGTGGGTGGGGGTGAGAGTGTGTGTAGAGAAGAAACAGAGGTCTTTGAAAGATCCTTTGGACGTGTGTGATTATCAGCCCCTTTGGAGGTAGGTTTCAGTTTTACAATCACCCTGTCACTCAGATGCAAGTTGGGAAAGAAAGCAAACCCACCAAACCCTGACATATCATTGACAAAAAAAAGTCTAATTGTTTTCTATCTCCTTGAATCAAGTATCACACAGAAGAGTCAGTTTTGTCCCCAAATTGCTGTTTCTGCAAAGTAACAGCCAGACACGGAACAGTTTGGGTCATAGGAGAGAAATACCACATACAGAAAAGCTAAGCAAGAGCAGGGATCTCCATGGAGGAGAGGAGGGCATACAGGACACAGCCATGTGGACTTTTCCCCAACCCACTCTGCAGCTCACTCATTGAGGAGGCAAATATGCTCCTTTTGGGTGCTTTTACTCCTACTTTAGTTGACCAGAAGAGAAGAGAATGACATCTTTCTTGGTGGGGGACACTGTTGGCATCCGTCTGTGGGACTTCAGCCACACAGCAGGATTGACACCCTTGGATTCCTAGGCTCAAATGCCAGGAACTCCCACTAGTCATCATAACAGCCAAAAAAGTGAACACATGTTTCTAAATGCTTTTGGTAATTCATGCACAGCCAGGGTCTGGTGTCCTTGCTTATAAACAGCCAGGGAAGCAAGGTATTCTTTTCTTAATTGTGATATGAGAGATGACAAAAATAAGGAAAGGTAGTCTTTATTAAGGAAGAATTGAATAAGATATAAAACAATAGTGAGGCAACTAGAATACATGTTTCTGCCACATTTATTTGTGGATGCTTGTGATTTTTCTGAGGCCAAGAATAAGATTTCTCATAAGAATGCTTATGTGTTGCTGCATTCTAGGGTTGAACTGACTACAGAGGCACCCTAAATAGTATCATGCATGGGTTGAAACACTGTCTCTTCAAATGGAGAGCAATCTGTTACAAAGCAGATCTACTTTATGATTATCCACTAACATGGACTCCCAAATACTTTGAGTCCCTATGCAGCAAGCTGTTCATTTTAATTTTTGCAGAATGGAATCCTCCTCTGATACCGTTACCCTCTCCTATAAATAGTATACCTGGCTAGAATTTCTTAGCTCGCTGTGTTGCTAAGCATCACCTGTTGTCTTTAAGTTCTGCACTAACTCTTGTGGGGCATTCATGCCATACTGAAGCTGCTTTTCTACTTTATTTTTTCAGTTATTCATGGTGGACAATGGAGCAGATGACTGGAGAATAGCCATGACTTATGAGCGTATTTTCTTCATCTGCTTGGAAATACTGGTGTGTGCTATTCATCCCATACCTGGGAATTATACGTTCACATGGACGGCCCGGCTTGCCTTCTCCTATGCCCCCTCCACAACCACCGCTGATGTGGATATTATTTTATCTATACCAATGTTCTTAAGACTCTATCTGATTGCCAGAGTCATGCTTTTACATAGCAAACTTTTCACCGATGCCTCCTCTAGAAGCATTGGGGCACTTAATAAGATAAACTTCAATACGCGTTTTGTTATGAAGACTTTAATGACTATCTGCCCAGGAACTGTGCTCTTGGTTTTTAGTATCTCATTATGGATAATTGCCGCATGGACTGTCCGAGCTTGTGAAAGGTAAGTTTGTTTCTTTTCCTGAGATAGTAATTTGCCGCATAGCATCTACAGAAGCAAGAGAAAGAACATGATGTGCCTGAGTTTTGAATTTTTTTTACTGTCTTTTAAATAACAGTAACAAAGCTTTCCAGAAGGTTCCTGTATAGAGCTAACAGGTTGATGGTTGTGTATTCTGCTTTATCTAGTTCTCAATAGAGAGTTGCCTTTGTTATCTATTGGAATTCAGAGTCCAGAACTTTTTGTGGCTACTCTTTATGGGAAATGTTACATTGCTAAGCCACTTCTGGCTTAAGTATTGATTGTTATTAGCACACGAAGTCTTGATGCAACATGTTTGAACCTTAGGGGACCTGTTAAAGTAGTTAAGCATAGTGCCAATTTGTAGGACTGTGTGCATGATTACCTGTTCAAGACTTGATGGATGCATGATTTGGTTTCTGTTGAACATTTAAGAAGGAACAGAAAGATATAGTGTTTCTTTCCTGTCTGAAAAGCTATGGTGTTTTAGGGCTGCACACAGCTCTGGTGTTTTAGGGGTGGACATGGACTGTCAGTGTTCAGAGGCTGTTCATGGATTCTAACCAATGTATTCTGTCATCATCAATGTTCACTCCATTGTTTAATCAACAAAATACATTCATGAATGATCTACAGAAAAAGCCATTTAACAATGTGTGGTGAGTATGGTTATAGGACTCTGGGTAGGAAATTCAAGGTGAAGTTTGCATGTGAAAGAGGACTGGATTTTAGCTCTTACTCTTGTACAGAAACAAAATTTGTGACGGGGTAAATCTTATTTTAGAACTCTTCCCTCCTCTTCATATTTTTTCCTTTTTACTTTCTCTGGAATAAATAGTACTTCCTTTACTTTCTTGTTTTGGTTTTGTTTGTTTGCTTAGACATTTTTCTTTTGGCTCAGTTTTTATATATTTTTACCATGGAATCATCTCTAAACCTTCCCCCATTTAATAGCCTCCCTCTTTCTCATTAGATATATTAACCTTTCCCTCATTTTCCTCTGGAAGCTGTGGCTTTCAGAACCTTTCTTGCCCACTGTGTCATGTCAGGGAGGGAGGGTTTTTTTCTGTGTGTGTGTGTGTGTGTGTGTGTGTGTGTGTGTGTGTGTGTGTGTGTGTGTCTATGTGTATCGGAATGTATGTATGTATGTGTGTCTATGTGTGTTTCTGTATATATATATGTGTGTATGTCTGTGTGTGTGTGTGTGTGTGTGTGTGTGTGTGTGTAGTGCCTCTTTCTTTATTCCTTTACTTATGCTTTTACTTATTTACTATGGGTGATTCCATTTTGTGACAGTTTCTAAGAAAATTCAGTGTGTGAGAGAATGACCTTGACAACATGGCAGTCTGTATTCTCAGATGATGTTAATGAACAGTGTGGGTAGATACAATATTACAGGTTGTAAAGTCATTCTTCAGAAAAGTAGAGAATTTCATTTCCCTTTGTTTTTAGGGTCTCACAGTCTGATTCCATTCTCATTTTAATCTTTATTATTTTTCTCTCTGAAAGTCTCCAGGATTGGCATTCTATCATTGTACAAGTTTTTAAATCTGTTTCAGTCTATGATACTGGGAACGTTCTTGACCCATTCTTTTGAGGGAATTTTGATCACATTGTGACACTCCAAGACTTAAATAAAGTTTATTTTGAACTGGGGGCAGAGCTAGCCACTAGCTGAATTGGCCATAGAGAAACCAGCAATTTAGATAGAGAAGCTGCACTGGAAAGGAAATGGTGGGTACTTGAGTTTGGTGCTTTCTTTTGGTTTTGGGACAATTGAGGAGACACATCTCATGTTGGGTCTCTGGCCAAAATCAAGGTCTGCTGGTTGCTTCTCAGCTTCTCTGATCTAGCAGGTTTTCACCCCACATCTGACTTCCAAGTCTTTGTTGGTTAATAGAACAATAGGGATTTAGTTTGAACCTACATATAGCGGCCATGGCAGAACCAGGGCTGAGGGACCCGAAGGCCCCCCAGGCCATGGCCTGAGTGGTTCACCAGGTGTTGACTGCGGGATCATGGGGCCACAGACAGTAATTAAAATATCCATAGATTCATGTACATTCACTAAGCTGGAAGGAAAACATTACCATTCAGTATTAGAATTCCTGTTTTTCAATTCTTAGAAAGAAAACTGATGTCTTAAAGCTCCTGGATTTTGTTGTGTGGATAATGCTCTCCACATACTAGTTTCATTTTTCATTTTCTTATTTTCTGTCTATACTTTGCTTTCTATATTGGATGACAACTTCACTTTTATTTTTAAACTTTCTGTTAGGGGTTAGGGATATACCTAGCCTTTGCCTAGTATAGCTGTGCTCTGGATTTAATCCTCATTACAGTGAAAGCAAACAAACCACTGTAATTTTGGTTTTGGAATTGACTTCTTCCTTACCATACATTAAATTCCTTATTTTTGACCCTATGTGCTCATTTGTGTTTGATAGTTCCTTGCTTCTCTTTTGCTGCTATATAGCATTTTATTTATCTGTCATTGTTAAGGATGCTTTTAAAATTCTTTTCTCTTTGTATTTTGTTTATGTCCCCAAAGATGCATTAGTTCCTTTTTTGGCTGCTATTTTGGAGGCTTTCCTTAGATGCTCGAGTGTCCTTGGCTGCATGCTCATCCTGAGGAGCACATGGGAAAGAGTCAGCTGGAAACTGTATGTTTCTATCTGGAATTGGCCAACTAAAGCCTTCACTGAGGGAAGATTTGGTTTATGGGAAGGAACAGCATATATAGTATTTCCTCTGAAAATCTGACCACCCCATGAGCAATCATTTCTATAAC